GCAGCAACGCAAAACAACAGCAATGTATAGATTCAATACAATTCCTATCAAAATCCTTATAGAATTTTTGAAGAAATAGAAAAAACAGTCCTAAAATTTGTATGTAACCACAAAAGGCCCTGAATAGTCAAAACAATTGTGAGGGACAAAAAAATAATAATCAGAGCATCACACTTTCTGATTTCAAATTATACTACAAAGGCATAGTAGTCAAAACAGTATGGTACTGAAATAAAAACAGACACATAGGCCAGTGGAACAGAATAGAGAGCCAAGAAGTAAATCCAAACATATATGGTCAACTAATTTTCAACAGGGGCACCAAAAAGACACAATGAAGAAATGATACTGTATTAGTCCATTTCTGTTGCTTTTAACAAAATACCTGAAACTGGGTAATTTACAAAGAAAAACAAAATTTGTTGTTTACAGTTTCTGAGGCTGGGAAGTCCAAAGTCCATCTGGTGGTGGCGACAGTTACCTAGGGGTCTCACATTGTAAATTGATGGAGCAGAGAGAAAGACAGACTCTCCTATCTCTTCTTTTGAAGCTCTCAGAACCACAGCCCTGACCACCATTTTTAATCCATTCACTATGGCATGGTCCTACAATCTAGTCACCACTTCAAGGTTCCACCTTTCAATTACCATAATAGGATCTCCCACCTTCTTAACAGTCAAAGTGGGGACCAAATTTGTAATACATAAAACTTAAGGGACACAATTCAAGCTTCAGTGAGTTTTGGGGGGGCATAATTAAATCCACTGCAGATAGTCTCTTCAATAATGGTCTAAGAAAAGTGGATTTCCACACGATAAGATTAAAACCAGCCCCTAATCTTATACCACACACAAAAATAAACTCAAAATGAATAAAAATCTAAACATAAGACCTAAAACCATAAACTCCTAGAAGAAAACGTAGGGGAAAAACTCCTTGACATTGGCCTTGGCAGTGATTTCTTGGATATCACACCAAAAGTTGAGGCTACTAAAGCAAAAATAAGTAAATGGGCCTACATCAAAGTAAAAAGCTTCTGCACAGCAAAAAAAATAATAAACAAAATGAAAAGGCAACATACAGACTGAGAAAAAATACGT